ATATCGACCTGACTAAATTATCCAATCAACACGATTGAAATTTGGTCGACGGAAACAAAATTTCGTTGGTTTTCTTAACACTAAATTTCGTTGAGTTAAACAATCGGTTTTCTGAGTGCATAGCCCCTCCTCACAATTTCAACCTCCGCACCTTGGCGATGCTCGCGGGCAGCAGAGAACGAGACGAAACCTGGCGCGCACGTGAAGTATAAAGGGGGATTTTTGGTGCCAGCTCGAGCAGCGGCAGCAGCGGCAGCAGCAGCAAGTCGGCATCAGAAGGGTTTGCGCGCCGTTTTGTCCCGGCCCCGCCCCGCACTGGATGTGCTCACGTCTGCTCGTGGCTCCCTCTCGTAAAACTGCGATAAAGGGCTCCATTACAATAACACGCCTTTTGGGCGGGGCGAGGTGAGGAGGAGGCGGGGCGGGGCGGCGGCGCCCCCGTAAGCTACTTAAAATGGGGATGCGAAGGAGTGCGGCGCCCAGCCGCTCCACCGCCGTGCCGCGTTGTAAATTTGTTTTATTTGTATCTTAGTGCCGCTCATATAAAAGGGTCGCGCCCCCCGGCTGCTGCTGCTTTGCCTTCGCGAGGGATAATAATTATATTCTTGGCTTCCTTTTTTATTTTATTTTTATTATTTTTTCCTAATTATGTGATGCCCTAGACAAGGCTGAAAAGTGCAAGGGGAAGAAGGAGAACATGCAGAGGTGAAGCAAAAGGGGTGGGCTCCGGCACGGCCTGCCTCTGTGTATTATCCCCTCCCCCCATCTCTCTCTCTCTCTCTCTCTCTCTCTCTCTCTCTCTCTCTCTCTCTCGCTCTCTCTCTTACACACACTCTCACTCGCTCTTTTCGCGGAGAGTAAGGGTGAGTGTTTGGAATTCCCTCCTCTTTCCTCTTCTTCTCCCTCCCCACCCCGCATTGTAATGTCGTCTTGCGCATTTTTTCCCCCATCCTCCGCCCCCTTTGCCGTTGTTTTCGTATTTCCCTGCTGTTTTGCGGGGCACATTTCCCCCGCTGGCCAGTAGCGGTGGCGGCGCCGGCCACCCTGCTGCTGCTGCCGATGGTGCATTCCCCCTCTCCCTCCGTCCTCAGCATGATCTAGTGTCCATATTTTACAGCATGAAAGGCCCCGGGTCGGGAGGGGTGCGAAGCAGCCGTTTTGCCATCAGCATGTTCTCGCATTCATTTCAAAAATACCGCGCGGGCTGACAAACAGATGCCCGTGCACCCGCGTCGCGTACCTCAGACACGACGTGGCGTCCGGGGGTGTGGGCGAACGCACCCTGGCAGGGTGTGACCCTCGGAATCACACTAGATTGGCCCTTGGGATCACTCTGGGGATCACTCTTGGGATCACCGTTGGGATCACCCTTGGAATCACCCTCGGGATCACCCTTGGAATCACCCTCGAGATCACCCTTGGGATCACCCTTGGGATGATTCTCGTGATGATCCTCGTGATGATCCTCCGCGCAGAGCCTGCTCGTGCTGCTTTGGTTGGTGTTTCCCACCGTCGCTCGGGTCTCTTACCTTCACCAACCGCCCTCCTCCCTACACCCACCCTCCCCCTTCTTCATCTGTCTCCTCCTCCCGGAGAAATCCCAACACTGACGCGGAGAAAGAAAAGCAGCGTGAAACGAAACTTTTTGATTTCATTTTGCGTTAAGAAAATTATACTGCTCCACAGAACCTTACTCCGCTGCGGTGCGAGCCCACCTTGACCCTCGGACTCCAGATGTGATCTCTCTCATCTCCCCTCCGTTTTCCCTCTTTTAACGTCGAGGGGGAGCACTGTAAAAATTAATTGTCACGATGACGAAAATACTTTGGCTAATTTTTAGTACAGGGGTGTCGTCATAGATTTTTTTTGTCACATGATTAGGGTTTTCTCGTCACCGTGGAGAGAAAACCGAGGACGGCACCCCTGTACTAAAACTTAGCCATGGTATTTTCGTCATTGTGACAAAGAATTTTGACAGTGAGGGGAGGGGGCGGAGCACAACGCAGTGGCTCTCGTACTCGTTCGCCACGACCAGGCCCCGGGGAGCCGCCCCCAGCAGCGGGCCCGCACCCCGATGCATGTTCGCGGGCGCGAGTTCTCGACGCTATACTGCACCGTAACAGCACAGCGTCGAGCCCGCCCCTCCACCCTCAAGGCGCTCCGGGCTTGCGGAGGGTCAGCCCCCCCCCCTCTCTCTCTTTCCCTTCCCCCTTCTCTGCCACCCACCCTCTCCCCGCTCCCACACCCACCGCGTCGCGCTCGAGAGCTCTCGAGCCGCCACCCCCTCCCACCCTTCCCCTCGCGCATATGTTAGCCAAAGCAGATCAAAAACCACAAAAAGTCAATAAAAAAGATGACCCATAAAGCACGCAAACTCTGTCGTAAAAAGAGGGGCGGCCTCGCCTGTGTGTGTGCTCCGGAGTGAGCGTGCGGTGTTTGGGGAGTGAGGGGGGGGGGGGGCACTCGGGGCACGCACCCCGCTCGCCTCGCCGCTCAGCGGGAAACCTATCACCCGTGAGACAGGTTTTCTTCTCCCCGGGATCGCGTGAGCATGCTTCTCCCTCGGTGGGTGGGTAGCACAGTAGCCGAATGGCTGGACGTCGGGTTTGTTCACATTATCACACTTTTAATTCGATTGTATGAATGCCGCGCCCACCTTTATACATTTGCTCGGTTGTAGGTGAACGCGATATCCCTTCGTTCAGTCTCAGATGACACCTCCTCCCTGCAGCGTGCGCCCCTAGACCTCTTCCTCTCTCACACGGTCACACTCGTCGCACAGCACCTCGGCCCCGGGCAGCACCCGCCGCACCTCGGCGCGCTGCTCCCTGCAGGCGGCTGGCTCGTGGCTGGACACGATGTCCCTCCGCAGCACGAGCCTCGTGAGCGCCCGCAGCCCGCTCTGCTGCAGCAGCGAGTGCAGGTCGCCGCAGCTGGATGGCCACCCACCACTCCCCGCCGTGCCCACCCACAGCACCAGCTCCTCCAGCGTGCCGCCGTGCGCCCGCAGCAGGGACTGTGTCGTGGCGCGGGGGAGGAGCCACACCCTGAGCCACTGCAGGCCGGCGTGTCCCGGCGGCAGCGCGGGCAGCTCGGGGGGCTGGGCGAGCAGGGCATCATCACCCCACACGTGCAGCCTCCTCAGCCGCGGCATGGCGTGCGCCGCGCGCAGGTGAACCTCGGGGGGGTTGAACACACTCAGCCGCTCCAGCGTGGGCGCGGCGAATACCAGCAGCTGGAGGCTCCAGGCGGGGTCCCAGTTGCAGTGCAGCTCGATTAGCCGGGTCACCTGCGGCAGAACACAGTCACTCTCAGGGGCTGCCGGCGGGCCGCAGTCCGAGCCAGGGCGGACGGGGCCAGAGGCAGGGCGTCGTAAAGCAAGAACGGAATTGTTTTAGAGCAAAGCGTAGGTCGCGACTTTACTTTCATTACTTTGTGACAGAAAGTGACAGAACTGTGAGCCACAGCGAGCCGTCACCGCGAGTGCACCTGGCTGCCGCTGAGCTCCGCCGCTCCTCGGCCGCCCGCGAGGCTGGTCGCCGTGGTCCGGCCGCACACTCACCCCCGGCGCTGCTGCGAGGAGGGCCGCCTTTTCCTGCTGCCGGTCACTGGGTTGGGTCTGGCTGACATCACACGCATCCATCTCCCGCGCCGGCCGCGCCTCTGGAGGTGCCGGGGCTGCAGGCGGGGCACCCCGCGCCCCTTGAGGTGCTGGTCCCGGGGCTGCGGGCGGAGGGCTCGCGGCGGCAGGCGGGGGACCCCGCGCCTCAACACGACTCTGCAACAAGCCGAGAGTATGGCGCTACTAGGTAGCGGAAATGCACACAATAGCACAGACCAACAACAATAAGTCATCAGAACACTGTTAAAACCCAGGTTGAAGCAACAAATAGTTTCAAAACTGAACTTGCACTCAAATGGTTCTAATAAAATAGTTTCTTTACAAAGTCAATGAATTTTGCGTCGTATTATTGCATTTTTACACCCCTATGAAACAAGAAATGATTATATAATATGTAATATTATCTTTGTGACAAACGTCGCCCCGATATCAAAAACTTAACCCACTTGTTCACCACCAAAGACCATATTCTTTCAACTTGTCTAGCGTTTTCCGAGGAGGCTACCTTGGTGAGAGCGGCCTTCGCGGTCACTAGCAGCCACATGACCTGGGTGAGGGGGTCCTCCGTGCTCGTCACGGTGCCCGTCAGCTCGTGTTCCCCGGCCTTGATGGTCAGGCTGCAGGACTTTGTAGTCAGCAGGGTGAGAGCCTGAACGGCCTGCTCCCCCTGGCAGAGGTCCGGCAGGCCTTCCAGCTGCCCAGCCGCCTGCTGCAGCGCACCCTGCACGTGGCGCCTCAGGGCCCTCTTCTCGGGCAGGACGTCGTGGTCCTCATCCCAGCAGCGGGGCGAGGCGGGCGCGAGGCAGTCCGAGCACCATCCGTGGGACGGTCTGTCGAGGAGCAATGTGGTGACTCAAATATTTTTTGTGATAACTGGTGTTTTGCTATCACCATGCTAAAGGACTTGATAACCCCCGAAAATGTGATAAGAGTATCACATTATCTTGATAAAATCATCACAAAAACTGTAATAAAAAGTTATTAAATCATTTTTGTGATGATTTCGTGAATAATGTGATACTTTTATCACATTTTTGGGGTTATCATGCCCTTTAGCGTGGGAATCGCAAAACACCAGTTGTCACATAGTTTTTAGTTAAAATTATCGCAAAACCAGCTTTGGTGCGAGCGGCTGTCGGCGGCGCTGTCATGGGTACAGTCCTAGATAAGGCGCTCACCTCTCTGGGCGCTCCATCTGCTGTAGGAGGTAGAAGTTGTTGAGCAGTGCGTCTGGGGGGACATCGAAGGCCTAGAAATAGGGTAAGAAGCGATCCAGACATAGCCACACGCAAGACGTTTCTGTTTGGGTTATTGGGAGATTTAAATTCCGTGTTGACTGACGGACTCACCCTGCGGCAGGTCGGGCACTCCTTCCTGGCGCCCCGCTCGAGGCACCGCAGACACACGGTGTGCCCGCACGGCGCTATCTTGGGCACGCGCTCCACCTGGTTGAACTCCTCGTGGCAGATGTCGCACTCCATGGTGGCGGTGGAGATGCTGGTCCCGCGGGCGACCGAGTCGCACTGTGTCCGACTGAGCGTCCTGCCGCGGCCCGCGGCGATAGCGACTGATAGCGATTGATAACGATACTCAGATACGGTGAACCGTAAGGACTTAAGGTATTCCCCACGTCTCGCTGCTTAAGGTTTCGCTTCACGCGTCACTAAAAAAAAAAAAAAAAAAAAAAAAAAAAAAAAAAAAACACGAGGACGGAGGTGCACTATAAGAAAAGTTTCCATCATCTTTTTGATAATCCAGGTGCATTTCCGGCCCTCCTACTTCAAATCTCCTATAGTTTTAGTATACCTCACTCATATGAAAACAAAAAATACTATTCAACGTTTAAGAACAGGTTTGAAGCCGTCTATTATTTGTACATTTTAAATCTGTATTTTTTATTGCAAATTATAGGGTCAGTGACACGAAATGTGGAGTTTAAACCTGAAATTTGAAGTGTACAGTGTTGATTTTTACTATGGTGACTTAAGGCTTTATTTAAATGATAAATTAAACATGTGTTTCATTTCCCGACATTTGTTTGCGCGGCAAATTTGAAAACACCTCGTGCAACCAAACACTCACCCCCCGCCACGCCCCGCCACGCCCCGCCACGCCCCGCCACGCCCCGCCACGCCCCGCCATGCCGCGGCCTTCTGCGAGTGATTTCTTTATGCGGATCGTAAACAGGGCGAATGGGAATCGCTGGATTAGACAGACATCGCGCCGCACCGGCGTGCCGTGTGACGAAGTGGGGCGTGGCGGGGCCGGGCGGGGCGGGGCGAGTGGGTAAGCATAAAGGAGAGGTGGGGTGTTCCTCACCCCCGTACGGCCCCGCCGTGCCGCCGCATACGACGAACGAGCCTCTTGGAAGCAGATCCGTCATTTCGTTATCCGGGGGATGGAGTGGTGTGGTTGGGGGCGAGGTTGGGGGAGGGGGCTGCCCTCGATGAGGCAGGCCAGCTCCAGCGGCATGCACAGTGTGCGGCACGGCGGAGAGGGAAGTCGAGTCGGCCGGCGGCGACCTCGCTCCTCCTTCCCCTATCCCTCTGCTCCTTCCCCTCTCGTCCTCTTCTCCTTGCACCCTTCCCTCTTCCCTCCCTCCTTCCTCAAACGCCCTCTTTAGCCAAGCTTGCCAAACCTCGCCCCCACCCCCCATTTCCCTTTTTTTCACCCCTCCTCCCTGCTTGATCTTATTTTCCATTCCCTCGCGTTTGTCGGGTGATTAATTCCAAATCACCTTGTAAAGTTTACACCGGCAGCGGCGGCCCCTCTCCTCAGGCAATCATCATCTTTTTATCGACACTTTTCGCTCCCTCTCTCTCTCGCTCTCTCTCTCTCCCTCTCTCTCTCGCTCTCTCTCGCTCTTTCTAGTCGGCGCCGTCGGAATTGGCCTTATAGCCTACTGGACTCCACGGGCAGCCAAACACTAAATTCCTTTTCATCCGTAGCTCGTGCGCCGCTGAGAGAGAGAGAGAGAAAGAGAGAGAGAGAGAGAGAGAGACCAGCCAGCACACAGCAACTCGGTCGCGTGGAGGCCTGGCAGGCCGGGGCGGACCCCCTCATGGACGGGGTGCTGGGCCGGGCATCACCGTCACCGGCAGCCACCCCAGCACATTGGAAATAAACTTTGGCAAAACTTTCCAATTTTACTCCGATGAAACATTCCACGTGACGTTGGCGACGGTCGGAGGAGAGAGAGTGAGAGAGAGAGAGAAAGAGAGAGAGAGAGAGAGAGAGAGAGAGAGCAGGAGGGGCGGTTAGGCTGCCGTTAGAGAGGGGCGGGGGGTGTCGGCCGGAGCTCAAAACTTCGCGTGATGCCGCCAGGGTCGAGCTTTGTCACACAGCAATTTTCTGCCCCTACCGGCCCCGGCGGCTCCCCGCGCTGGAGGAGAGTGTAACGTTATTAGCACACACACACACACACGCAGAGTTACCGGATGTTTCGCCATGCCACCCCACCC